CAAAACAACAACAAAACTGTAGCAAAATAAAAGAAAACCAAACTCGACTTATTTGAATATGAAAGAACTCAAAAAGAAAAATTTATCTTCAGAGGTATAATATAATTGGTCATAACGTAAACCTATCTCTATGTAAAAGAAACACAATAACATTAATGCAAACTGAACCTTTTTTTCTCAAGTTTATAGGGTATATATCAAATAGAATTAGTCTGATCATGTTTCTGTAACATTTTTTCCATTTATTTCAGATATATATTTGCCAAATTTTGTTGGTGTATTCTTTTTACATTCACTTTCTATGCTACTTGCTTGAAGTCAGTAAAAGAAAAAGTAAATGATAAACTGGAATGGATCAACCATACAACATAGTGCCATTCAATATGGACAGCAAGGGCTACAGCTTTTCCAGGAAAATTTTGATTGTACATCAATTTCTACTGAATCTGAATATAGTGAAGAAGCACTGTATCATTACAAAAAATTAAAATGGAATTCTTTTCTTGCTACCATTCTTTTAGACAAATCCCAAAGTTTTAATTTTATTTCATTACATGTATTACTTTATTCTCAAAATACAAAATCAGTGAGGTTGGCTTTAATTTTCAATTTAAACAATCAATAAATTAAACAACTACAAAATGACTACAGTATATAGACTTAAATGACTGATGAAAACAACTAAGACCATAAAAGGACAACTAAAATTTTGCAGTCATATAAATATGATAATCAAAATGCAGAAAAAAAAAAAAAACACATCATGGAATCTTATGACATAATTATAAAACAAAGAGAACGTCATTTGGTCTCTGGTAGATAGATGTCTCATTGGTAATCACTGAATCATACCACATCTTTTTTAAAATTACTGTAAACATTTTCCAAAGACTATACCAGTCTATCACTCCATATAATGATATGCAAAATTACTCATATACATATACATATAAGTATATTATGGTATACTGTTGTCTGTCTCTAACTTGTAATGTATGAGTATACAATCATAAAAATGTCATTAGATCCAAGTCCTAACTATCACAAACTTTGTAACCCCTCATGTTTATTTGTATCTAATGTCCTCCTACAATTACACAGTCATTTCATTTTTGGCAACCAAGCCACTCAAAAATAAGTAAACTCTGGTGTCCTGATACTAACAAGTTCTGAATATTCATAAATTAGATAATTCCTACAATGATGCATATTGGTGGTTCCTAACCAGAAAAAAGCACCACCAAAAACCAGGAATTATTTCAATCTGGAATAGTTTTAAATTCTGGAAAATAGATAAGAAATGTATGATGAAATCTAACCCAATTTAGGAGGGTTAGCCATGCATCTATGGCTAAGGGGGGGGGGGGGGGGGGGGGGGGTTAGTTAGTTCATAATGAAATACCATTGAAAGTACCCTGAACCTTAGCCATGCATGTTAAACCCTCACAGTTGGGTTAATTGGCATCATGAATTTCTTATCAATTTTCCAGAATTCAAAATTATTCAAGATTCCATGTTCAAAGCTTAAATACACTGTTTTACTCGTCTTACGTTCACATCCTATAGATCTTATCAAAATAAAAAAATTATAAAGATCTTTTTAATCGTGCGTTTTAAACCCTGGGTGTAAGCTTGTATGCCCTAAAATGTCCAGTCATGGTTCCTCTGGATATGTCTTTTTGTTCAAAGTATATAAGTAAACAACCAAAGGGTACCTGCAGTTTACAGGGATAATGAACCACAGATGTATGCCTGTCAGACCTATCTTTTTTTTAATTATGAACCTTGGATGCAGTCCCAGTCTGGATGCAAGCCAATTATAATTTGATAGATGTAAGATGTACCTGTAAGGTATATTTAATCAATCATTAATTATGTTGTATGATTAGCTCATTTTTATGCATGAAAAGATCCAACATTAATTGCCAGACAGATACAATAGTCTATGACTGCATAAGGCATGTATTTTAATTTACATTATAATCAAATTCATCAAAGAAATGCATCCTGTTTACAAATTGTAAGTGAGAACATAGTCTCCTAAAAGTAAATTAGCAGACATACAGATATCTATCCATGTCATGCCCAAAATACTGGTTCCAGGTTGTTAGGTACAATGATTGTCCATTACTGAACTAGAACCAGTGATCCCATGTTAAAATGACCTTAAACATTCTCGTTGAGGTTGGATAGGAATATATTTTCCTTAATTGCTTCTCTTTTTCGCTTCACTCACTCACTCCTTCCTATTCCTTCTTTGAACCACACTCTTCAATGTCCCTCATCTGTCCATTCCAAACTTTCATAGGGACTGCTTACCCTTCCAGAGCACCTTAGTTCACCCACATTTTGGTGGGGTTCAAGTTGCTCTGGCTTTTGTTATCTGTGACTGTGTCATGTTTTGTAATTGTTATTTGTCTTTTTGTCAATGTTTTGTCTGTTAATTGATTTGTATGGTTTTTAATTGAACCTTTGTGTCTTCTCTCAATTTCTTTATTTCCTGTTCCCCAAAATAATGATTCTTGCCTTATAGTTCATGAACTTAGAAAACAAATTGTATTTTGTATCATAAAATATTTCATAACATAAAAATATTTAAGAAAGTTTTCATAACATAAAATCTTTAAGAAAGTTTTTGATTTAAATAAATAACAGGGGAAATCTCTAAAAAGATATACAAAATGGAAGTGAACATAATTTGTTTATTTTCAGTAAAATTAAGCTCTAATGGACATTCCTGAAATGTCTTCTGACCCATCCTTCATGCCAGAGGGATTAATTCTTACCCAAGCCATAAGTACCATAAAGGAATAGCACCTTTTCATAAGTATTATATCTTTTTACCAAAATGTTTGTATAAATCACCTTCATTATAGAAGCTAAATCAATATTCCAAATTACATGGCTTAAACAGATAATTGATTTAATATTTATTTAAACATTGTTCATTCATTTGTATTAAGTTGTCTGACACACCATCATAATATTGACATAAAATATTTAAATCATTCACATCTTAAATCAACATTTTGATTAAACATTCTTAATAATATGACTCAGGCATTCAATTTTTGAAATCAAAACAAAATTACATAAAAAGAACAAAAATTAGAAATGTTTTGTATTTGAAACTTTGAACCTCTTAGTGCTACTCTACTTCAAATAGGTATTTTTCAAGTTTTATGAAAGTTTTTAAGAAAATTTAAAATCTATTTTAACAGCAACTCAAACAATAAAGGAAATATTAAATTTAAATCTCAGCTCTTAAAAAACATTTACAAGATGTTTAATATAGTATACACATTTATGGAAAATGATAATATCCTTAACTTTTAAGAAGTTTGTGACCCTCTTGAAGATAACAGAAGCAATACATTTGTTTTCCAAAATTATGTAACATAATTACACTAGGATAACAGGCCAAGTTTTTCCATTAAATATGTATACTTTCAGTAATATCATATCCTGTCTTTTGCAACAGAGTCAATTTTCAAATTATAACATTCAACTTTTCACTACAAATTTGACTGCCTTTGCATATCAATCTAAATTTCAGACCATTTTTTTTCTTAATCAATGCCGAGATGACCTGTTAAAACTGAATATTTTTCAACTGGCAGAAACTAGGTGAACTATAGTATTTTCTTATTTAAAAACTAAATTTGTCGGAATGACAAGAATGGCCCTGCTCGCAAAACCTAAACTAATTTCGGCAAAAAATCCAAAAGAACATAAACTCGATAGTAGACTCAAATACTAAAAATCAGCTCAATATGTGAAAGCGTTTAGAAAATAAATGGGGAATGTGTCCATTGGACACAGATGATGCCCCCGCTTGCATATAACATTATAAAGGACCTTAACTCAAGAACTGTTAAAGTGACACTTTGAACTTGATCTGAGTCTTGTGGAAATAAGTATTGTTTATAAGTTTCATAACATTTAGTTAACGTAAACATAAATTAGAGAACAGAAACGAAAAATTCAGCAATTTTCCATTTTTAAAGGGGCATAACTCTAGAACCGTAGAAGTGACGCCACCAAAATTCAATATTGATCTGTGTTTTATGGTAATTAGCATTGTGCATAAGTTTCATAACATTTGGTTGAGGCAAACTAAAGTTAGAGAACGGAAACAAATATTTCAGCAATTTTTTCATTTGTAAAGGGGCATAACTCTAGAACGGTAAAAGTGACGCCACCAAAATTCACACTTGCTCTGTGTTTTGTGGTAATTAGCATTGTGCATAAGCTTCATAACATTTGGTTGAGGCAAACTAAAGTTGAAAACGGAAACAAAAACTTCAGCATTTTTTCAATTTGTAAAGGGGCATAACTCTCGATAGGTAAAAGTAATGCCACCAAAATTCAAACTTGATCTGTGTTTTGTGGTAATAAGCATTGTGTATAAGTTTCATAAAATTTGATTGAGGCAAACTAAAGTTAGAGAACGGAAACCAATTTTGGGACGTAGGTACGGACAGTCGTACGTATGTAAGGACGTACAGACAGACAAGGGTAAAACTTAATGCCCCCTACACTACGGCTGGGGCATAAAAAGCCTGTTTAACTGTTATTTTCACAAAATTTTCAGTCTCAGGGTAAAACTATATGGCCCTGACCACTAAGAGGCGGGGACATAAAAGTTATGAGAATGACTTTGTAAATAGAATTTTTTTCTCAGTTATACAATTTTTCCTCCAAGAAGGGCATTCCTGCTGTCATATTTTCATAACACTACATCTAGAAAAGGAATATGAACAATGAAATGCAAGTGTCAACACCATTGAGGTAAGTAAGGACATAAAGACATAAAAGAATAGCTGTTGAGTTGAAATTATGACTTAGATAGGATCTGGAGCATTTGGATTAAAGCCACTTATTTATATTACAGTTTGCACTAGTACTGGGAAGTATAAACAATGTATGTGGCACTCAAGTTACCAAAATGTTTTGGTCTCATAATTTTAACACAAAATCAAATTTAATCAAAAACTTACGTTTTTTCATTCTGTAAATATTGATCCAGTAAATCTATGTCCAGATAATCGTTAACGTTAACATTGTCATAACCCAGATTTCTACCTGAAATAATAAATAAATAATAATAATAAATACTCAAAGTATTTCTAACTATTCTAGATTTCAGCATGCACATATGAATAAACAGAGGTTTTGAGTGTAAACATTAGTGAGAAGGCATCCAGACATACTGTAAATTAAGAAATTATTGTGTGTATTTATTATTGCGAATTTTGAAAAATCGACAAAAATGCGGGTGTTGCAATTTCAAGAAAATCTGCATACAGATATATGTATCAGATATCAGAATGCGAGTTCTTATTATTGGGGTAATCACCAAGTCACATTATTCGCATTAATGATAACCTCACAGTAATTTCTGAATTTACAGTACACACAATCAAAAGACATCCAAAGGTCAACATATAGTCCTAATACACACATTGAATTCAAAGTTACAGCTTGTGTGAGACAAATTGAACAGAGAAATTAAAGTAGGATAGAAAGCATTGTTTGAATGAAGTAATGAAAGCATAATTATGTATGGATTCATAATAAAGTCAAGCTATTTTTAAACAAGACAAGCAATTTTTCACAATTGCATTATAAGTATCACTCCAAACATTAGCTTGTCAGGCCCCTGTAGACTATTGAAATGTTTATATAACTATTTCCTTGCAATATAACTAGACTATTGAAATAAAACTAGACTCTTGCAATATAACTAGACTATAGAAATAAAAAGACTATTGCAATATAACAAGACTATTGCAATATGACTAGAATATTGCAATATAACAAGACTATTGCAATATGACTAGACTATTGCAATATAACAAAACTATTGCAATATAACCAGACTATTGCAATATAACTAGATAACTAGACTATTGCAATATAACTAGACTATTGCAATATAACTAGAACCCTGCAATATAACTAGACTCTTGCAATATGACTAGACTATTGCAATATAACAAGACTCTTGCAATATAAATAGATCCCTGCAATATAACTAGACTATTGCAGTATAACCTGACTATTGCAATATAACTAGACTATTGCAATATAACTAGACTATTGCAATATAACAAGACTATTGAAATATAAATAGATCCTTGCAATATAACTAGACTCTTGCAATATAACTAGACTTTTGCAATATAACAGGACTCTTGCAATATAACTAGAATATTGAAATAACTAGACTATTGCAATATCAACTGGACTATTACAACTTGACTGCAGCCTTACATGTCATCATTGAGCATTTTTAATAATGCAACAAAAATTTCTGCAAAAACCTTGAGGATAGTTATTACTAAATTCAATAGAAAGACAACCTTGTTAGTCTGAAAGATAAGCACGTTCAGACTATGTAATACAAATAACATTACTAACAAGTTGTACATCCATAAAATACATACAATATTACATAAATTCCTTGTCCTAGACAGTAAACCTTGTACTGTATGCCATCGGAAACCATGTATATAAATCAATCTAATTGTTTTTAATTTAGTAATAGTGATGATTTAAGACTATTCTATGCTTACACTTGGGATGATCAGATGACTAGTTATATTTACAACAAACAACTTATTGATAGACAAGATAGGTTACAATGCTCAAATCAGTGTACACATTGTAATCTTACTGGCATTGTTAAAGACCATGAGTATTGTCCCATTATAGAAAGTCTTTACAAAAGTACTGAAGAAATACCTCCTTCAAATCTTAGGCTTTTTCTCTTTAAGAAACCATGACTTTAGCAAAATTGTGTTATTTGTCTGCACATAATCCCAAACTCAAAAGCGTAGACCAAGACAACAGCAAGTCCTACTTAGTGTTAGTTGTGTATGTGCAAACGGATATTATATTGACAAAAGGTCTTGCTTCTGTCTCTGAATGTATTGAATGACTGAATAGATGGTACAGGTACAATATCAGCTGTAGAGTGATTCTGGTTTTTTAATTGCATATTAATACCATTTGAATTAAAAGAAATAGTTATTTCTTAGAAGTTCAACATCAGCTTTTATTCCGTTACTCACAAATATTGTAATCAGACTTATGTTAAAGTATTGTTTATAAAAGAACACTGAAAAAAACCTGTTAATTCCCTGTACAGCCCAAGTCAAAGAATGGAAATTTACTCAGGTCTATGAAATTAGAATTGAAAGAGGTTTCTCATGATTTTATTGCAGCAGATTAAGTAAGAACTTCGACCTTGCCTGGTAACTTGAAGCATACGTGCATACATACACAGTAATGTCAAAGTGAAAAATGACAAACATCTTAACATCATCAACAAAACAGACTTGACAGGGTCATAACAGAACCTGAAGGAACAGGATACTAAACCAGGAAATAGGAACACCGAATATGTGACAATATAAACAGAACACATACAATTTCTGACAAGCACATTTATATACACTAAAACCTGCTATAAAGGTCACCTCTATTAAGCGTAACCTGTTTTTGCAGGTCATCCTTCTCTTGGCCCACTACAGTAATACCTATGCATTCTGAACCTCAATTTAAAGGCCATCTCTCTTATGAGGTTATTAGGGTCAGTTTCATCTGGTCCAGAGGATGACCTTTATACATACAAGTTTAACTGTAATGAGTATACATTTGTATATGTAAACAGATGATAGTCACACTAATTACAGGTGTTGAAATTTATAATAATTAAAAATATACATTGAAACGTGTCACATGTAGATACAGATTGTTTATGCCAGTACACTCCTGGGTCATACTTGTACCATAATAAGATAAATTATCTGACTATCATACTGTACAAAGTTTATATTTACACATATATCACAACAATGTTATAATATCTTAATCTTATTGAGAAATTTGTGATTTAAAATTTCAAAATAATAATGAAATGCTTTAATTCAAGCAAGTTTTTATATGTTTTTGATCCAACTGTCATGCATGTATGCTGAAATCCTTACATAACCAGTGTAAAACATTAATAAATTAAAGCAAACATTCAGAGAACTACACTTTACCATATTTAATGACTTATTTCATGTTTAATATGATACACTTACTAAAAAACATTTCTGACATTTTTCATATGAAGTGTGTAACTACTAGAATATAACAATCCCATAAAATTTTGAACTTCTGCTTTTCTGAAGGTTTTAAATTTGCCAGAAGTGCCAATCAGATATCTTGTATTTCTGCCAGTAGTGTCAGCAGCAATGTTCATGATAAAAACTTTATTTCAGCTCATCTGCATTCTCCTAGCTGTAATGGTCTGCTCTTCTTTCACTGAAGGTAATTTTGCCAGCCATCTTGTATTCCTGCCAGTATTGCCAACAGCAATGTTAATTATGTCAGCCAATTTGTGTTCCCCTAGCTGTAATGGTCTGTCCCTCTTTCACTGAAGGTAATTTTGCTAGACATCTTGTATTCTTGCAAGTATTTCCCTAGCTGTATTAAATGGTCAGCACCTATATCACTGCCAACAGCAATGTTAAATATGTCTGCTAATTTGTGTTTCCCTAGCTGTATTAAATGGTCAGCACCTCTATCTTGTATTCCTGGCAGTATTGCCAGCAGCAGTGTTTATGTCAGCTCACAAGTGTTCCCCTAGCTGTAATGTTATGCACTTCAGTCACTGAAGATAATTTTACCAGATATCTTGTTTTCCTGCAAGTATTGTGTGCAGCAGTGTTTATGTCAGCACATTTGTGTTCCCCCAGCTGTAATGGTCTGCACTTTAGTCACTGAAGGTAATTTTGCCAGACATCTTGTATTCCTGGCAGTATTGCCAGCAGCAGTTTTTATGTCAGCTCACAAGTGTTCCTCAGCTGTAATGGTATGCACTTCAGTCACTGAAGATAATTTTGCCAGACATCTTGTTTTCCTGCAAGGATTGCATGCAGTAGTGTTTATGTCAGCTCATTTGTGTACACCTAGCTGTAATGGTCTGCACTTCTGTCACTGAAGGTAATTTTGCCATATATCTTGTTTTCCTGTAAGTATTGTGTGCAGCAGTGTTTATGTCAGCTCATTTGTGTTCCCCTAGCTGTAATGGTCTTCACTTCAGTCACAGAAGGTAATTTTTGCCAGACATCTTGTATTCCTGGCAGTATTGCCAGCAGCAGTTTTTATGTCAGCTCACAAGTGTTCCCCTAACTGTAATGTTATGCACTTCAGTCACTGAAGATAATTTTGGCAGATATCTTGTTTTCCTGCAAGTATTGTGTGCAGCAGTGTTTATGTCAGCACATTTGTGTTCCCCTAGCTGTAATGGTCTGCACTTCAGTCACTGAAGGTAATTTTGCCAGACATCTTGTATTCCTGGCAGTAATTGCCAGCAGCAGTTTTTATGTCAGCTCACAAGTGTTCCCCAGCTGTAATGGTATGCACTTCAGTCACTGAAGATAATTTTGCCAGACATCTTGTTTTCCTGCAAGTATTGCGTGCAGCAGTGTTAAATTTCAGCTCATTTGTGTTCCCCTAGCTGTAATGGTCTGCACTTCAGTCACTGAAGGTAATTTTTGCCAGACATCTTGTATTCCTGGCAGTATTGCCAGCAGTAGTTTTTATGTCAGCTCACAAGTGTTCCCCAGATGTAATGGTATGCACTTCAGTCACTGAAGATAATTTTGCCAGACATCTTGTTTTCCTGCAAGTATTGCCAGCAGCAGTGTTAAATGTCAGCTCACAAGTGTTCCCCAGCTGTAATGTTGCACTTCAGTCACTGAAGACAATTTTGCCAGATATCTTGTTTTCCTGCAAGTATTGGGTGCAGCAGTGTTTATGTCAGCTCATTTGTGTTCCCCTAGCTGTAATGGTCTGCACTTCTGTCACTGAAGGTAATTTTGCCAGATATCTTGTTTTCCTGTAAGTATTGTGTTCAGCAGTGTTTATGTCAGTTCATTTGTGTTCCCCTAGCTATAATGGTCTGCACTTCTGTCACTGAAGGTAATTTTGCCAGATATCTTGTTTTCCTGTAAGTATTGTGTTCAGCAGTGTTTATGTCAGCTCATTTGTGTTCCCCTAGCTGTAATGGTCTGCACTTCTGTCACTGA